GAACAGTGGGAGGGTCATCTAGTGTCCTGGCCCCACTGCTGGACCTCCTGATGGCCCCTGGTATTTTTGGCCACTGTGTGACACAGAGTGTTGTACTGGATGGGCCATTGGCCTGATCCAACATTGGCTTCTCTTATGTTCTTATATGGAGCAGAGGTCCATCAGTGGCTATTAGCCAGAAGGTATAGACAGGAACTCTCAGGCTGGGGCAAGGGATGCTCTGTATTCTTGGTGCTTGGAGGGGGGAACAGTGGGAGGGTCATCTAGTGTCCTGGCCCCACTGCTGGACCTCCTGATGGCCCCTGGTATTTTTGGCCACTGTGTGACACAGAGTATTGGACTGGATGGGCCACTGGCCTGACCCAACATTGGCTTCTCTTAGGTTCTTATGTTCACCTTCTGAAACCTATCTTCTAGGAAGGACCAAAACCACTGCAAAAATGTGCTTCCCACCCCCAGCCCCGAAAGGTGACCCATAAGGTTATCATGTCCAGTGGTATCAAAAGCCACTGGTAGGTTCAGGAGAATCCTGGACAGGGTTCTACTTCCCTGTGTCCATCTCTCAGATGGCCTGAAACCAGATTGGGAAGGCAATTAGGGGATAAAGGGAAACAGCAGTAGGTCAGAACCGATGGGTGGGTGGGAACATGAGGAAGAGCCGGCTGTCAGGTTTCCTTGTGGGTTGCCGTCGTTGTTCCAGAACAGAGCAGTGGCAGTGGCAGCGAGAGAGGCGGAAGGCCTTGGATGTGGATGCGGGAGAGGGGATGCTTCTAGGGATGGCCCTTTGGGTGAGCTAATCCCGTTTCCATTGCCCTACAGAAGGTCTGTCCCGAACTGCAAAACAAAACATGCTTTTAATGGCCGGAGAGGGGAGGGGGCGGATGAAGGTGGAAGGGAGGCAGACCGAGAGGCTAATTCCGCTCTCCCTTTCATATTTCATTATTTGATAACATCAGGAGGACGGGCCGATTGGAATTGCCTTGGCAAAGGCAAACAGGAAGCCCGTCTGATCAATATTTATTAATGCCTCTCCAAAGGCGAGGGAGGCGTGCGCCGGGCCGCTCAGCTAATGGAGGGGATAATTCCGTGCGCCGAGCCTGGCGGGCCGACGGCGAGACCCGGCCAGAGGAGGCCGGGGGTTTAATTGCAGCCAATTATAAATGCAAACTCCTCTCTCTCTCCCCCTCTCCCTCTCCCCTCTTTAAATAATTGTTTATTTTAATTTTTAAAAATTAATCTGATCGCCCAGTGAGTGGCAGATGAGTCCGGAAAGCCATCAGCCTTGGATTTAGGAGAGATAAAGGGAATGGGGAGAAGGGGCCCACGTAATATCTAGGGGCCACGGTAGCCATCTTCTCCTCCGTCTCTGAGGTTGCCGTCCCCCCTGCTGGGGGCGGGGCTTCCCACAATTGGTGACCATAGAGTTTTTGGCCAAATGCTAGAGCCTCCCCTGCACGATGTGCCCGGTGCAATGATGTCCCTTCTGAGTAATGTCATCACGGAGCACATGAAAAGCGTGGGTGCCATAAGATTCCAGGGACCAGCCTACAGCCCCCCCCCCCAGGCAGACGGTAAGCACCTGGCCACCCTATCCTTCCACCCAAACTACAGACAGAGGTCGCCCCTGTTGCATCTGCATTGGACACAGAGTAGCATTTCAGAGATTTCATAGAACGTTAGAGCTGGAAGGGACCTTGCAGGTCATCTAGTCCAACCCCCTGCACTCTGCAGGAGCACAGCCGAAGATAGCCCTACAACCTACCCGAAAGATGGTTGTCCATCCTCCGCTTGAAAACGTCCAGCGAAGGAGCATCCACCCCCTCCCGAGGCAGTCTGTTCCACTGCTCAGCCACCCTTACAGTCAGGAAGTCTCTCCTGATATTTAGCCGGTATCGACTCCCTTGTCACTTCCACCCATTAGATCTAGTCTTGCAATCCGGAGCAAGAGAGAAGAGATCTGCTCCATCTTGTACATGACAGCCCTTCAAATACTTGAAGACTGCAATCGTGTCCCCTCTAAGCCTTCTCTTTCCCAGGCTAAACAGACCCAGCTCTTTCAGCCTGTCCTCGTAAGACTTGGATTCCGAGCTTGTCAGCATCCTTCCTCAAATGTGGTGCCCAAAACTGGACACAGGACTCCAGGTGAGGCCTGACCATAGCAGACTAGAGAGGTATGACCACCTCCCGCGATCTGGACACAATGCTTCTGTTAATGCATCCTAAGATTGCATTCGCTTTCTTCGCAGCCACATCACACTGCAGGCTCATGTCTAGCTTGTGATCCACCAGAACACCCAGATCCCTTTCACGTGTGCTGCTGTCAAGCCAAGTCCCTCCCATTCTATATCTGTGCCTTTGATTTTTTGTACCTTGGATTCCAACCCTCTCACCATCCCGGCTGCCCTCTTCTGGACACGCTCGAGCTCGTCGACTTCCTTGCCAAGCTTTGGGCTGGGAAATAACTGGAGGGACCTCAGCAGGGTATAAATGCCGTAGATCCCACCCTCCAAAGCAGCCCTTTCCTCTTGGGGAACTGATCTCTATAGCGTGGAGATGAGTTGTAGGGATGCCCGCCTCCAGGTGGGACTAGGGGAACCCCCAGCATTGCAGCTCATCTCCAGACGACAGAGATCAGTTCCCCCGCAGAAAACGGCTACTTTGGACGGTGGACGCTGTGGCATTTTACCCCACTGGGGTCCCTGTCCTCCCCAGGCTCCATCCCCCCAAAATCCAGAACTTTCCCACCCTGGATCTGGCGAGCCTAACCCTTCCCATCCCCCATCAGTGGCCAGAGGGGACCGGCCACCCAAATCTGTTTTAATTCTGGGCAGGGGTCGTTTCGTAGAAAAAGAGGTGCAGGAGCTCATTGGCATAACTCATTAGCATACCTCATTTGCATCTGCCACACACCCCTGACACACCCCTAAAATGTCATTATTGTTAGTTTTGTAAGCATATGAACTTGTGCAGCAATATTTTTGGTCTTTATGTTATCTAAATTGCTGGGTCCTGGTTACTTTACGTTTATCACCGGAAGTGTGTCAGAAGCAACACCCACTGCTCAGGCTCCACTGGACTGTTTTGGATTGCTAGCTGTTGGGGGGGGGGACGTGCAGATCTGTCCTCGCAGAGGAGGGAGAGCTTGTACCTGAATAAAACTTGGTCTTAAAGGTGCCACTGGACTCTTTTGGATTGCTAGCTATTGGGGGGGGCGTGCAGATCTGTCCTCGTAGAGGAGGGAGAGCTTGTACATGAATAAAACTTGGTCTTAAAGGTGCCACTGGACTCTTTTGGATTTCTAGCTATTGGGGGGGGATGTGCAGATCTGTCCTCGCAGAGGAGGGAGAGCTTGTACCTGAATAAAACTTGGTCTCAAAGGTGCCACTGGACTGTTTTGGATTGCTAGCTATTGGGGGAGGGCGTGCAGATCTGTCCTCGCAGAG